GTCCCAGTGTGTATTGTGCAACACTGTGACATCCAGGGGTCATTTCGTAGAAAAAGAGGTGCAGGAGCTCATTAGCATAACTCATTAGCATAACTCATTTGCATGTGACACACCCCCTGACATCACCGGAAGTGTGTCAGAAGGCAACACCCACCGCTCAGACTCCACTGGACTGTTTTGGATTGCTAGCTATTGGCGGGGGGGGGGGCGGGGCGGTCGGTTCTCGCTCGCAGAGGAGGGAGAGCTTGTACCTGAATAAAACTTGGTCTTAAAGGTGCCACTGGACTGTTTTGGACCAGGGGGCCTGGGGGGGGGGGCTCTGCAGCTTACCTGGCTGCTTCTTGCTCTGACTGAGGGCTGCTGGGAGCAGGGGGCGGGGCTTGTTGCATGTGCCCGCCCCTTGGGCTCTTTACTGCCGGAGCTCCGCTCCTGTGCGCTCTTGCAAAAAATGACCCCTGGAATTGGAAGGGATATCGTTGTGTCCCATAAGAGAGATTTTCTCCCATTTTTGCTTCTGATGCTCCAGCAAACAGGGGTGGGAGGTTGTGTTGGACGTTCCAGGTGTGATGTCCCCTGTCTCAGACCTCCAGACTGCGTGGCGAGACAGACTAGATAGCTAGACAGTGCAACAAGCAGACTTAGGCTGTGGTCACACACACTAAACAATCCACTTTCATTCCACTGTCAGTGCACTTTCCAACTGGAATTTTACTGCGAGAACTGGCAAAATCCAGTTGGAAAGTGCGTTGAAAGTGGACTGAGGGTGGATTATTGAGCATGTGTGACCACAGCCACAGGGCGCTTTCACGCATGCTAAATAATGCCGTTTCAATCCACTTTCGTGACTATTGCAAGCAAGGCTCCCTCTAAACTGTGGGGTCTTGTGTGCAAAAATTCTACTGTGTGAGCTACCGGCATTAAAGTTGTGAGCGAGCGATTTGGCTCCTGCATAAATTAGTTGGCTCTGGAGCCCTCCGTCCTGAGCTAAGACAAAAACGTCTGAGCCAGAGGCTAAAAAACCATGAGCTCGCTCACACTAGCTCAGCCTAGAGGGAACACTGGTTGCAAACAAACGTGAAATATTTGTGTGATCATGCCGCGCCGCTTCTTTGCCATGCTGCAGAATCACCGTGTGATCGCCAGCTAACAGCTGAAGCACAGAGACTCGGGGGACCGTGTGATCGTGCTACCATGCTTTATTTTGCTCCAGGGTGAACAGCCACGCCTCCCCCCCCCCACGTTATCTGGCCCATGTGATTGGGGCCATGGTGTCCCAAAACAATGAGGTAATACGTCCCTTAAGCTGTAGGAGTTTGAAAAAAGGACCAAGCTATATAGTACCCTCATACCTTTCAGGTATCACCTATGAGAGGTACAGATGGGCTTTCTCAAGAGGTCGTTTTGATGCATTCCCATCTGCAGTTCTACTGGGTAGATTTTCTCAACAGCCTGTGCAGCAACAATGCTGTTCTTGTTCGAGTGACGCGGTTGAATCAATTGCACATCTACTCTTACATTGTGAATATTACCAAGAAGAGAGACGCCAGAAACTTATTCCTCTACTTTCTAGATTTAAGCCATTGCAATATTATGGCTCCGGTCACATGTGCCAGTTAATGCGGGGGGGGGGAGGGGAGGCTATTTGTGCCGTCGCAATTTGACCCGCCACTATGCGATCGAACTCGATGGCGGTGAGCCGGTGTTGTCTTTGTTGGTGCATGTTTCCGGCGCACTTCAACGAGGAAGCAGGGACGCGAGAGGCGTGCGCTGCAGCGATCATGTGGAGAATGCCTGTCTGTGGCCCGTCGCAACCCGTTTAATAGTGGACTTTCCCAGGTACTTCTCAACGCCGCATCTTCGGCCGGACAATACAAGTTGGCGACGGGTGCGCGATGCTTACCAGATGTTTCTGTGTGATCACGCCCGCATAATCCGCCCGGCATTCGTGGCTCTCCTGTGGCAAATTCTGCGTGTGAACGGGACCTATGTTGATTTTAACCCTAAAATTCTTCAGATATACCTTTTAGAAGACAGTCAAAAACCTGTATCTTATGTGGTGGCAAGGTTTTGCGCACTGGCTCTTAGAAAGCGGAACTATTTGTCTAAGAAAATGCTAAAGGCTGAAGTATAACTTTTAACTGTGCTATGATTTTAATCTTTATATATTAGTTGCCCAAGTTGTATTTTAACCTTGCTGGTTTTGACTGTAATAAATTTGATTTAATTTGATTTGAAATTGTATTTATTTCAATGATGTCACTCGCCCTGAGCCTGCCCATGGGATAAGCGGGATATAGATGCAAATAATAAATAAATTAAAATGAATGTGTGTCATCTGTGGAGAACAGATTAGGAGATTTCTGGTAATTCCTAGAGAGGACTGATGTCACTTCTTGGTTTTGCTTGGAACTGATGTCATGCCTTTGGGGAGAGATTCAGCCTCCTAACCAAAAAAAAAACTCCAACCCCACACTTTTCCATTGTACATTTCATTATTTTTTTATTTTAAGTCAACAGTAGAAGAACTGACAGTACTGATTCGTAGAGTAGGGTTTCCAAGATCCGCAACAACCCGAGAGCATGAACCAAATCCGTCGCAAACTTCATCTCTGGCTGCTACGGGGGCAAAGCCCATGATAAGCTTCTAGGCAAGTGCACCACAAGCAAAGAACACCCCCCCCCCCGAAGAAGTTCATGTCTACAATTCGCGGTCTCTCCTCTGCCCATAAACACATAAACTACGTTATCCTAAACAAGCTGATCTACAGGAGATTCAGGTCAGTTCAAAGGCAATACTTTTCCACGGAATGCAGAATCATTATGCATAATTCACTGTCACAACACTCGTTTACCCGGCTTTAAAGGAGGAGTGGATGCATTCGTGGAGAATAAGGAGTTGTCGCCAGGTTGGCTGGATGAAACCTCCATGCTCAGATGCAGATCAGCTCTGAACATCAGTTGCTAGGGGGTGACCGGGGGAGATGGGAGGCTGTTACCATCATTCCCTAGTTAAGAGCTTCCTAGAGACATCCAATGAGGAACAGGATGTTGGACTAGGGCTGCCGATTCCATGTGGGGAGTTTCCTGGAGGTCTGTGAACTCTCTCAGCCTCACCTACCTCACAAGGTGCTTCTTGTGAACTCTCTCAGCCTCACCTACCTCACAAGGTGCTTCTTGTGAACTCTCTCAGCCTCACCTACCTCACAAGGTGCTTCTTGTGAACTCTCTCAGCCTCACCTACCTCACAAGGTACTTCTTGTGAACTCTCTCAGCCTCACCTACCTCACAAGGTGCTTCTTGTGAGCTCTCTCAGCCCCACCTACCTCACAAGGTGCTTCTTGTGAACTCTCTCAGCCCCACCTACCTCACAAGGTGCTTCTTGTGAACTCTCTCAGCCCCACCTACCTCACAAGGTGCTTCTTGTGAACTCTCTCAGCCTCACCTACCTCACAAGGTGCTTCTTGTGAACTCTCTCAGCCCCACCTACCTCACAAGGTGCTTCTTGTGAACTCTCTCAGCCCCACCTACCTCACAAGGTGCTTCTTGTGAACTCTCTCAGCCCCACCTACCTCACAAGGTGCTTCAAGGTGCTTTTTGTGAACTCTCTCAGCCTCACCTACCTCACAAGGTGCTTCTTGTGAACTCTCTCAGCCTCACCTACCTCACAAGGTGCTTCCTGTGGGGAAAGGAAGGGAAGGTGATTGTAAGCCGCTCTCATGGCAGAGAATTTAGGGTATAAAAAAATTACTCTTCTTGTTGTTGTTGTGGGTGGGGCCTAGGAAGGGCGTGGTTTGGGGAGGGGCCTTGGTGTGGCGTGATGCCACAAATGTCCACGATCCAAAGCAGCCCTTTCCCCCCACGGGAACTGAAGTCTGGAGATTGGTTATGATTCTGGGAGGTCACCGGGACCCAACTGGAAGCCAACAGCCCTAGAGATGGATTTTTATGCTGCAGTTCTTTGCCGAGTTAGTCCGGTCTAAACCGATTCTTTCCCTCTGTTAGGCTGACTCGGCGGGGCTTTCCAAAACACATTTCTGCAGATAATATGAAATGTCTCTTAGGCCTGGGATTCTATAAGGTCACTCAGAAAAGGTATTGCAGTAACTAGGATCCAGTGGCCGAAATGCAGGAACGAGGGGTGGTTGTATAAAGATGGAGCCACTCGCCTCTTCTTACAGGCAATTGGAGCAATGCATTTTCACGTCCTTTCTTGGAGATCGTGAAGGCTAGATAGAAACTCCCCTGACCTAGATGGCCGAAGCTAGCTTGATCTAGTCAGATCTCAGAAGCGAAACAGAGTCGGTTCTGGTTAGTACTTGAATGGGAGACCACCGAGGGTTGCTATGCAGAGGTATGCAATGACAACCCACCTCTGTTAGTCTCTTGCCTTGAAAACCCTATTGGGGTTGCCATACGTTGGCTGCAACTTGATGGCACACAATTATCCCGAAGTTCTCAGTGCAGAAAGAAAAGCCACTTAGCCGACAGGAAGCCATTACCAGGATAGATTTCTAAACTGCGAGCTGTCAACCACTTGAGATGACAGTTCTCAGCTGCTGCAATTTAATCACTTCTGCCAACCAAAGCAACAATTCTGAGAACAAGCCGGCGAGGTGGGGGTGATGACTTCTGTAGTCAAGAAAGCTTATACTTGGGCAGAAAAAACTCTCTTAAAGGAGACCAGCTTCTTGACACAGAGTAAGAAGGGACCCTAGAGGTCACCTACTCCAACCCCCTTGCTCAGTTTAGGAATTAGTCAACGACAGCACCCCACTCTGCTTAAAGGAGCACACGCCTTTGAAGAAATGTTTTAAAGTGATCGGGGGGGAAGCATGTACAGGAGAAATTCGTGTGGGGCTGTGCCTTTAAGAAAGGGGCGGAGCCCCCCAAAGCCCCACCATCACTACGGGCCTGCAATGATTAGTCCTTGTCCTGAATGGCCCAGGCTAGCCTGATCTCATGAGATCATGGAAGCTAAGCAGGGTCAGCCCTGGTTAGTCCTTGGAAGGGAGACCACCCAGGAAGCGCAGGACTGCTACACAAAGGCAGACAATGGCAACTCACCTCTCTCTTCCCTTGCAAACCCTATGGGAAGGCACCAGAAGTCGGCTGTGACCTGACAGCCCTATCCACCACCAGAGAGAAACTTGTCTTATTTGTCTTTAAGATGCACGGGCTTCTGAACAAGCCACACCGTCCAGCACCAGAAAGCCGTCTCCTGTTTCCTACGGGTGCCACAATACTACAGACGCCGCGAGCGGCCTATCGAGCGACGGCACAGATCTCAAAGTGGTGCGGCTGCAAGGTTGCCCCCCAGATGGGTTCTATGTTGACTCCTTTCACTCCGTCCGGCAGCTGGAAGGTGAAGGCCCTCAGGAAGTTAGAGAAGAAGACAAAGAGTTCTGTCCTCGCCAGATGTTCTCCCAGACATACTCGTTGCCCTGTAGGGA